CTTTCTTTTTTTTTTATTTGACAGATAGAGTTAGACAGTGAGAGAGAGAGAAAGGTCTTCCTTCCGTTGGTTCACTCCCCAACTGGCCGCCACGGCCGGCGCTGCACCAATCCAAAGCCAGGAGCCAGGTGCTTCTTCAGGGTCTCCCAGCGGGTGCAGGCGCCCAAGAATTTGGGCCATCCTCCACTGCCTTCCCGGGCCACAGCAGAGAACTGGACTGGAAGAGGGGCAACTGGGACTAGAACCCGGCGCCCATATGGGATGCCGGCGCCGCAGGCAGATTAACCAAGTGAGCCACGGCGCTGGCCCCCCAGCTGCTCCACTTTCAATTAAAGCTCCCTGCTAACGGCCTGGGAAAGCAGTGGAATATGGTCCGAGAGCCTGGGTTCCTGTACCCACATGGAAACCCGGAAGAAGCTCCTGGCTCCCCCCGCCCTGCTCCGCTGTCACCAAGCTGCCACGGCAGTGTTCCTGCCTCCGGACACGGACTCAGACGGCAACGCACACCGCTGACTCCCCTGGGCCCCCAGCTGCCAGCTTCAGACCTCCACCCGAGAGCGCAGCACAGACAGCTGACTCACCGCCCCCAGAGGCCTTGGACTCACCCCCCCTGCAGAGGCCTTGGACTCACCCCCCCGCAGAGGCCTTGGACTCACCCCCCCCGCAGAGGCCTTGGACTCACCCCCCCCCAGAGGCCTTGGACTCACCCCCCGCAGAGGCCTTCGGTGCGCTAAGAGCCCAAAGCAGAGGCCGGGCTTCCCCACGCCTCTGCAGAGCCCGTGTGTCCACCTCCCGTCAGGGAGCTACAGGGCACGCTCGGGCCAGCAGGGCCTTGCTCTTCCCACTGCCAGGGAGTCCCAGGCTCTGCCAGGAAGCTCAGAGAGACTGGCTCGCAGGTCCCAGCTGCTGGGACAGAGGCATGTGACGGGCTTGGGGCCCCTCACTGGCCACACCTCGGCTCCAGCCACTGCACTGCGGCAAGGCCATCGTCAAATGAGACCGGGTCCTCCTCCATTCGCTCAACAAACCTGAGTTCTGGCTGTGACGAGGCCGTGGAGACACAAACCAAGGTGGACATCGTGTCTGCCCCTGAGGAGCCTACAGTCTACAGAGGCCAAAGCGCACGGCCCCCAGAAGCCAAGAGGCTCCCCAGCACCGCAGAGTCCGCCCCGACCAAGGGGTCCCTCTGTGCCGTTTACGATGAGCAAACAAGGCCTGCCCGGTCACCACGGGTGGAGGCCAGCTTCAGACCCAGGTCTGGCCACGGCCGGCACACAGGACCCTTCGGCTCTGCTCCCACGCTGCGGGACCCTGACAGCCCGGGGGCGCCCCAGAGGGCTGTCTCGGCGAGAATCAGCTGCGTGCTGCCACTCGGAGCCATCGTTTCCAAAGCTGCCGCGGCCGCTGCGCCTGCTGAGTCCCAGGAGCTCCGTGAAACCCTCCGGGCACACAGCGCCCTCCTCCACGCACGCATTAATTAACGCAGCACAAGGAGGCGGGAGTTAATCCCACAGCCTTCCCAGCCAAAGAGGAGGAGCAGGCCTGCTGCCACAGGAGGTGGAGAACCGTGGGGACAACGGGGGCTGCGTGGCCTTGCAGAGGCGTCAGGTGGGAAGCAGAAGGTGTGACGGTCAGTGCTCAGTGTCCACGGACCGGGGCAGCCCTGCAGCCTGCCCTGTTCCACCTCCCTGGAAGGACAGCCGCAGCCACAAGAAGATGCGCCATCAATTATTAAGAAGGTCTCGTGGAGGGAGGAAGGAGAAACTGCCTGTCATCGTCCCAGCATTCAGTAGTTCTCGTTATTTATTACCAGCTTCAGGTATTAGGAGAAGAATGGACCACGGTTTTAAAAATCCATGCACAGCGCTGGTGCTGTGTCAGTGGGTAAAGCCACCGCGTGCAGTGCTGGCATTTCATAAAGGTACCGGTTCGAGTCCCAGCTGCTACAGTGCCGAACCAGCTCTCTGCTGTGGCCTGGGAAAGCAGTGGAAGATGGCCCAAGTCCTTGGGCCCCTGCACCCGTGTAGGAGACCTGAAGAAGCTCCTGGCTCCTGGCTTCAGATTGGCACAGCTCCGGCCATTGCAGCCAACTGGGGAGTGAACCAATGGATGGAAGACCTTTCTCTCTCTCTCTCTCTCTCTCTCTCTCTCTCTCTCTCTCTCTCTCTGTGTGTGTGTGTGTGTGTGTGTCTCTCCTTCTCTCTGTGTAACTCTTTCAAATAAATAAATAAATCTTTAAAAAAAATCCACGAACACATTAGCCCACGAGTTGCAGAGATGTGGGCCAGGGTGAGTGCCAAGGCCCAGAGCACACGCTTGCAGCTGAAGGCCCTTAGAAGTTCCCTTTTCTGCCTCCAACACGCCTAGGAAAAGTGGCCCTGAGCAGGCTGCACCCCGCCACGCCAGGCCTCGGTGCGTCTTGCATGTTTTAAATCAATACAGCCCCAGGCAGCACCCCGATGCCTCTGTTTCTGCAGGCGCATCCACAACACGCGGCCTCCTCAGTCCAGGGCGTGGCTCTGCCGGTGTGGCCAGCACGCGGTCCACAGCACGACCTCGACGGAGGACACGGCCCAGACAGCCTGAAGCCAGGCCAGCACGCAGCACCTCAAGAATGAACAAGGGGAGTGAGTGGCCAATTAGCACCGCCTGCCTGGACAGAGGCGGTGCCTCACCCGCGCAAGGCTCGCCTGCACAAGAGGAGACGGACTGTGGACTCCAAAACCGCCCATGCTTCTTCAACAGGAGTCGATGCTGGAGGGCCTCAGCCCCCAGCCTGAACCAGCACGCAAACCAGCACCTGTCCACATGCAACTCACCTCCCCCACACTGTCCCGCACACTGCATCACCTCCTCCCACACTGTCCCGCACGCAACTCACCTCCCCACACTGTCCCGCATGCAACTCACCTCCTCCCACACTGTCCC